CTTGCGGCACTTACGACCATTCGGCCAACGACGCAGTAACTTTCACAATCAACTTAATGGCATCATTAGAATTAATCCCACTAGTCGAAACATGGATTGTGTACGTTTATGTTTATGCATAAGTACCTAAATCCACTTACAACCGTGCTCAGTAATAAGCAGGTACATTCGTTCATCATACCGTATAGAAAACTTTTCCCACAAAGCAAATAAAATGGCCTTGCCTCCCCAGGAATGAAAAACGATTTACAATCCAAAAAGTTTAGCACTCGTTAATTCGAGATCTACCACTGCCCGCTGAAACATAAGCCCTTGCTCAAACAAAAGAAATCGACACGATATTTTATCAAAGCAGTTACAGCGTCGTGAACGGAAAAGAACAACTGTAATAAAGAGCCTACAAGTCGTTTGGTTAGCGACCCTACATAAATAGGAAGTTTGCGCCAGAGGGCGTGCGTGTTGGAGTCCTAATCCAGTGGATTGCGCCGCGGTGTCGCCCGCGTACCGCGCCTTCCAACATCATTTCTCGTATTGACTTAATTTGTACAAGCTCAGTTCTACTGCCCGACGACAATTTAAAATACAATTTCATTGTTGCATCAAGCAAACGGAATGTAACCCTCAATTATACTGCAAGACTAAACAAACAATCAACAGATGTTTCTATAGGTACATACCGACATATTTATGAGGAGGCTTATATGGATGCCGATCCAGGAAACAAGTCGCCATCAATGGTAATAAATACAATAACGCAACACTAATCCATAATAATGTCTCTGATACGAGGAAAATGTGTGAAACTATATTTGAGGGGACGGTGCTGTGAAATTAATTGGATTTTGGTAAAGGTAGCTTTACCTTGAAAGCTTTTGTGTATTGGAGATTTTATGTACCGAAGTTAAGTACCTTCACGGTAAGTTTAGTTTGTCTTGTTTAATCTACCAAAATTAATACAGTATTACGAGAGCTGTGACCTCTGAATATCTACAAAGAGCATTGGTGCATTAACCCTCTCGGAAAAATTGTGTTGACTTGTACTTTTTCATCATATCGCTAGTTTTCCTTACAAAAGTATGAAAGACAGACTACCGTACTGAATCTTGAACCCACACAGAGTCCAAAGCCTTCTAAATGAATTGTTCCACGGTTTAAAAATTTAAATGAAGTATGTATGTTCCATTTAAACTAAGTATATTTGGCTTAAAACTCGCCATACTTCCATTGAACTAAACAACCCTTCTACCCACAGGAAATAACAGAAGTTTTAAACAAAATTCACAACCAAAATAAGTATTTACAAATCCTCAATTATCATCAAGGAATTATTTATTTTGTTCCCTTAACGATAAGATACTAAATCTAATGAGTTTTCGTTTAATGTAAATACGAAGTAAGCATTGTATTTAAGGCGGGCAATTGTTAAGGTTTACTGCACTCATTTCTCATTTCGTATCGGCAGAATAAACAGAGGCGGTTTCATTATAGATTCGCCGACATTCCACAGAGATACGAATTGTTTAGACATTATTCAGATTTAATAAAAATTCTTTAGCAAAACTTTATGTTAAGAATTCATCTTTATGGTTAGTTGAAAACCTAAAATATGAAGATTAAGATGTTTTATTGTAATTTGAATATATTTGGATTACCGTCAAAGTATAAACCATAGACAAAAAGAGCATAAATTGTTTATGGCTTTATCATACAAAGGCATAGAGTATAATAAACTTAATAGCGCATAGTTCAAATAAAACCACGAATTACTTAATGTATTACCAAAACCGTGTTTCATGTGTTCGAAAAACCACGAACTCTAAAGAAAAACTTACAAAACAAATTGAAAAGTATTTCTTAATTTGATCCGCACTTTACCTTAGTAAATACAAGAGCCGTTATTAGATTAGCTCTCATTAGATTTCCATCTTAATTCTATTTGCCCGTGTTTACTGATTACTTTTTGTATCGCGCTATTAATTAAAGATTAATTAATGAGTCCTGTCTACCGCGCCGTGGTTCGTCGTCTACCGTCTGATGGACCGCTCGGTTTAATATAAAGTAGGCTGTTGTTTACTCGGCTGTGTCGCAACTCACAGCGTTAATAAATACCAGTTTCCCTTCAGACAAGTCTGTTCTCTTTTTATTCAATATTTACTTTTATTGTGACGGGATTATTGGACTTTTTTAAATTTATTACTTTTTATTTAGAGTGAAATGACGGTCTACCTAATGTTCGGAATGAAAAAGATTCCGGGTTTATTAATTCGGACGGACTCTTGCAATTTTTTCTTTTTAATTTTATTTGTAAATAATATTTAGTTGCGCGTGTGCAAGGGAAAATAAACCTTGTAAACCGATAATCATAATATTACAATAAAATATTGTTTGTATTGCTATTACATTCTGTTTGAAGAATCCTTGCAGTTTATTTCTCGATACAAACTAATATCCTGTTGCAAATACATGATAGATACATTATTTGTTTTGTTGGGAATTCATAGAGAATTTCATTTTAAACCGTTTGAGTTTTCATACGAATTTGTAAACATCGTTGTTCAAGATTAACCTTTGTAATGGCATTGGTGTCAGACTTATTAAGTTACTCTTGCATGGTTGCACCTTTTGTTGTAAAATGCCTTAGAATTGGATATTTTCTGTAAATTCAATAAAGTACTATTTCCAAAATAATATTCACAAGACAAGTAGGTATACTAATGGCTGTCTATAAAATATGTTTCATATGTTTTTTCTTTGTTTTTTCATAGCAGCTGCATGTTTTCCGTCCAACACAGAAACATTTTCAAATAACGGTACTGAAAAAAATGTTTAGGTTAGAATTCACTAATAAAATCAAAAAAATTAAACCTGTCTCTACACTATCACATACGATTAGAGGATTCAATCCCGGCCCATTTTTCCAGTCCCGGGATTTCGGGATTATCTAAAGTCAATCCCGGGATCCCGGGACAGTCCCGGGATAGAAAGAAGTAACAGAAAGACAGTAATTTATATATCAAAATCAACTATTAATCATCAGTTCAATCTACAAAAAACGAAACAAAAATAATATTTTCTTCTAATAAAATAATAAACAAACAAACAAGGAACTTCTTTACTTAGTGTAATAGTTTGTTTATTTTGATTCACATAAAATCTTTAAAAAATCAACTTCTAAACACTTGTTTAGATAAAAATTAAAAATGACTTAATTCTAAAGAGATCAGTAATACAAGGTAATTTATAAATTATTTCTTTCAACTTCGAAAATAATATCGAAGAAATAGTAAAGCATCCAACGACTCATCAGAAAGCTTGCTTCTTAATTTGTTGCACAAATATGAAGAGGCAGAAAAAGCGCGCTCAGGCTCAATGGAAGTTGGAGGAATCGTCAATAATTTTTTATAAGTCTTCTCCAAATTATAACCTTGTGTGGAACTAGCTTCATAAAGATTCATTTCTTGTTTAATGATCTCAAAAAGATCCGTTAGCAATTACAAATGAAATCAGATGTGTAAACAAGATGGCCGTTAAAACTTCTAACGTGCGTTTCGCTTCGTTTCATGCATATTTTTATTCTACATCACAAAAATGAATCTCAAAATGCATTGGTAAGAGCATAAATTCCAATCCCGAAAATCCCGGGATACTTAAAAAATAATCCCGAAAATTACGGGACCGAAATTTGATCGGGATCCCGGGATCGAATCCTCTACATACGATAAAATTCCGTGAAAAGAACTGTCCTCGCCAAAAAAATAAAACTAAACGAATTCAACTTAAAACTATTCCACTATCACGGAGCCGCACAGAACGCAATTGTGTAAACAGCTGGAAACATTCGAAGAGCACATTTAATACTTACTTAGTGACTGTTAAACCGAAAATTATTAAGGTCAAGTTATCTATTGCAGAGGCCAGGTGTAAAACCCAGATAACAGTTAAACCCTTCAGGAATTTTATGTTTGGCCCTCACCTTCCTTGTTTTCACGGGCTATCAAACTGAGGGGGGTACGGAGAATCCCCCTTACCGACCCATTTCTTCTTCCAAATTTCCAATACATGGGTTTATTGTTTTGTTTTTCGAGAAACTTTTTACTTATACTATGTTTGTATGGGTTTTAAAACTGGGGAAATATTGGTAAGTTTGTAATATGAATAAATTTTATTATTCGATATTGTGAGGGTTTTGAGGGGTGCGTGTTATGTAGTACGAATTTGATTATGTGGTTAAAATAATTCTTGATGGTGGTGTTACAAGTTTTTTTTTAATATCATTAATTATATATGGACTAACTACAAAACAAACATCTCAAGTTTAAACTAGTAACCAATGCGTTTTGAATCTAAGATTTGTTTCCTTGTAAATTATGTACATAGTTACACATTCTACAGCAAAAAACTAGGTACATTAACAACACTTCTGTTTCTCTTCTAAATATCATAATAATATAAT